GAGTTGTCTACCACCTTCGAATTTCTCCGATGGAAAGAAGTAGCTCTGTTTGCTCTTTTTATGCTATTCAAGTGGTATCAACTCACACGATGACTTCAATTGGTTGTCCTAGATATGTTGGAGACATGCTAGGTGATCGCGGACTGTCAAATCGACATTTTTTGACAGAATGATATAATTATCGTTATATATGAAAAGTTGTAATTATGCTTCGGACCGAAACAGCTTCAATGTCAACAAATTTATAGTAGAACAATTTTAATATTTTTATGCTATTTCAACCATTTCATTCAAAACGATATAATTGTAGTTATGTATGAAAAGAAATGACATCAAAATCATTTCAGTTATGTTTTGGACTGGAACAACTTCAATGAAGACAAATTTATACTGGAACAATATTGATGTCATTATGTTATTTTGTGAGTTGATATCATTGTTGTTACGTATGAGAAGAAACTGCATCAATATCTTTGTAGTTATGTTTCAGATTGAAACGATTTTAATGTTGACAAATTTGTATTGAAACGAAATTTTGTATCATAACAAGTTCAATGTCGTTATTTCTTCACCCACGCATCTTGTACTCTGTTTTGCATAACGACTTCAATATCATTTTGTTTGTCCAGAACGACTTCAATGTCATTATGTGATTCAGTATAGTCGTAAAATTTTCATACTAGAACGATATGTATATCGTTTTGTATCTTAAGAACGATTTCAAAATTGTTATGTGAAGCATTACTAATTCGTACTGAAACGACATGTGTGACAATTATAACAATAATAGTGTTGTTCAAAAAATAAAATAAAATTAAAAGTAGTTCATCCATAACGTGAAAAAATGAATAAACTCAGCAGCATAAAATGACTTTAATGTTGTTCCAATAGCACAAAACCAACCTTGAGGGCCCTACTGCCCCGCCCCTAGAGTTTTGTGAGGGAGGTAAATCGCGGGATGTGCCCCAACAGGCCAGGAAACAAGAGCTGTCTGTATAGTGCGCCTACAAGAAGTCAAATTCTATGTCTTAGGAATCGAACCCCCACACTGCGACTGCCAGCATATGCTTCATTGTTGTCCTAATTTAAGTTTTAGCTACTCGTGTTTGGATTACAAAATACCTACTAAAAATTGAATAAACTTTCTAAAGAGAAAGAAAAGAAGATGAGAAGACGAATCATGTAGTCGCAATTGGAAGCTCCTCCAATGTTATAGTTAGTTCTTTCTCTCTCATGGTTGAAGCACGTCTTTTGAATCTAAAGTCGAGAGTCTATAGACGAGGGTTTTAAAACCCTTGAGTGAGCCACACTTCGCCAAATTCCTTTTTGTTTTTCCTCCTTAGGGCATTTTCAATGGTTGCACCATTGCACCATTTTTTAGTGCAAAGTTACTCCAATGCAATATCAAATGGTGCAATGTCCAGTTTGCGCTTATTTTTCATTTTTCAAGATAATAGTTAAAGATATTTGCGTCATTTTCGTTCTATAATGATAATAATAATGATAATAATGATGATGATGATAATAATTAATCACACTATTAATTATATTATTAAAGTTTACTATTTTTAATAATATAATCAATAATAATTAACGTAATTGTTAATTTAACGTAAAGTTTACGTTTAAAGTTTCACTTAACGTAAAGTTTATATTATCAAAGTTTATTATTTTTGTAAATTTAACGTAATTGTTTATCATAAATTAATAATAAAATCAATTATTTTTGTCAACTTACATAATATATAAAACACGAGAATAATTTAGTAATCAATATATTTGTTAATTTAACAAAGTTATAATTTAGTAATTTATATAATTATAAAATAAATAAATAAATAATTTTTTAAATAAATACATTGTCAAAAATCAAAAGAATGAATAAAATAATAAATCATTGTTCATTTGGTGTAATGATTGAAGAAGAATTTTAGTTTGGTGTAAGATTTGATCGAAAATTTGATGTAAAATGGTACAAATTTTGATGCAGCCTTGGAGATGAGCTTATTTCCTTCCGACATTACTTCTTGGATTTGGCCTTCGTGTCCGAGCATTCAAACACGCTTTTCCTTCCCTTTTTCATCATCATTTTATAAATTTTTATAAATAATCATAATATAAGACAGTGGGGTCCACTGCCAATGGTTCCAATTATTAACTTATAAATTTATAATTTATAATCTCTAAGACGAGAAGTCTAATCAGTAATGAGACCTCTGCACGTGAGGCGAGAAGTTAGCCGAAGACTGGCGCCAAAGGGGGCTAAAGTTCGTTATATTTGGATTCTTGATAATAATAGTCCGAATGATTCGATCTGCCTTCCATTTTTATTCAAATTTTATTTTACCAAAAAAACCCTAATCATTTTCTTTCTTTTCTCCATTGTTTGTTCAAAAAGAAATGGGAAAAAAATTTTAGAATGTGAAGGGGAAAATAATGACAAGAAACAAGAAAATTAGTTTCACCATTTAACAGCCTGCCAATAGTTAAATCAAGGTAATACCCATTTTAAATCATTATTTTACCAGTTACCCAATTTGGGGTTTTTCATAATTTGTTAATATGTAATCTGTTGGCTTTTTCTACTTCTTTGTGGGTTTTTTCTTAAGATAGTTTTTGTTTGAAAAGTTCTATATTTAGGATTGGCAAAAAAGGAACAGAGGATTTCCAGCGCAGATTGATGTCAGGCTGCTTGATTTAGAGGTCAATTGGCTACATTAAATAAGGAAATGTTTGGGTAAAATGTGATTATTTTCTCTTCGTTTTTAGCTGTTCATTCTCATTGATATGGTATCGTGTTGGTAGGAAATAAGTGCAGAACGGAATGCATATGGGAAGGATAATTGTAATATAAATTTCATTCTTTTGTAGAAAACGAAAACTAAATTGGCTTTCGCTTCTTAATAAACTGAAAACCATAAAGAACAATATTGGTATACCATTTGAAGTAGTCTGTAGAAGAGGATCCTTTTAATGATTTGAAATATATATGAAGAATTGCATTCTGAATTTTGGCTTTCTCCCACTTTATGCAAACACGCCTCAAATTCATTTTGTGTTTGTGGATAATTACATAACCATATAAATTCAGGTTCGTGATACATATCATTTCCGTTGGAGAAAGTTAAATTGCATTGATATCTTTGTTTTGTTTGGAAGTTAGAAGTTAGAAAACATGCATCTTGTTGATATCGATCATCATCATCTTATTCAAGAGTTAAACCATCATTGATCACATGTTAACCATCAACTAGATCATGTATATTAAGACTCTTAAGTTGATGTTTCTTCCACTCCATAGGTTGATTTCTTTTGTCCAATTTTTAAAAATCAACCCATGCAATAATTTTACCTAGAAAACTAGTCTGAATAACTGTATTACTATTTATCTTATGTGTTTCAATTGATGCTTACATCTTGATTGCAGTTATGGATTATACGGGTAGAAGCAAAAACTCTATAAAGAGAGATGCTAACGCTCCCAATAGTCACCTTGATACATTTGTACCACATATTTCATTTACCGATTCAGACCATGATAGTGGCTGCAGAACAGATTCAGAGGCCAATCTAAAAGAAACTCGATGTGGCTTGGCTGAAAATTTAGATTCTTTGGATTCTGTATCTTTATCCTCTTCAATCTCTTCCTCTGGCAGTTTCTTCCAAGTCAACCCTCAAATAGTGACCAACCATAGCATGTCTAGTCCATCACCCAAGCTCAAAGGGGAAATCAAACCATTGTATGAAAGTGACAAAGTCGACATTTCAAATGAGGTATTGTTCAAGTTGGAAGAATCTTTTAGCAAGTCTCCAGGATCCACCTCACAGGTATCTGATGTCACTCTTGAATCTTTTCGGCCGAACATATCACCAATACAATCGCCTCCCGTCCAAGTGATGGAAAGGTCAGGAGATTTTAATCCTAACCGGATCCCGCCTTCTATTTTTGCTATACCCTCGACACCAATGGAGTGGAGTGAGGTTTCCAATGATTCATTGTTCAGTATTCATATTGGGAACCAGGTTGCCAGGATTAGTGGGGACTTGTACAGATCAGGGGAACTATCCAAATCTGGAGAAATTCTTGAATATGGGGAATCATACCAGTCTGGAGAATTTTATAATTCCCAAGGACTAATAATGTCCAATGAGTTAAATACGAGGTTTGACCATGCCTCTGCAGCAGCTAAAGGAGTAGAACCTGAAAAGAATTCTGATGTAGTGAAGACTATGGGTGCAGAGAAGAACTTTGGAGCAACAGATTTTGTATATGAATCAACTTACAAATTTCACGAGGCTGGTACCAATAATCTATGCAAGGAAAATTTAAAAGATCCTGGGGGTTCTTATAATGCCAACTGTCAAACTGAAGGAAGCACAGTTAGCAACTTATCGATAGCTTTTCCAACGTCAGTTTCATTCTTGGTTATAATAATCTGAACTAGCCAATCTTCTCTTCTATTATTGCTTTACTTATTACTTGCATGTCGTTAGCTACATCTACAAGTTCCCACCAGAGCAAAAAATGTGCCTATAACTTCTTCACATATTATTAATGTAATTTTATACTTTATTGGGTTCTTATGTGAGTGTATTGATCCTTCTTTCTAATTTCACTTTTTAAAATAAAAATTTCATTTACTAAATATGTATCAGTAAATGCTTATTTATTGGAGACTATCTTGTTTCCACATAAATCTGGATTCCCCATACGTTGTTATTTGTGAATGAGAATCTACCCTTTAGACAAGTTTATTACACGGTACAGGAGAGGATTGGACCGTACAGTAAATGAGACATTAGCTTCTCTCTCTCTCTCTCTCTCTCTCTCTCTTTTTGTGTTTCTTAATATTGTAAGTATTGTACAATCCACCTTACCAAACAAGCCATTTGTGTGTTGCAGAAAGAAGCCTGCATGTTCGTTATGCCATTGCTATAATTGCAACTCGATATTCTGCTGTTGTAAATGGCCAAGCTGCTGCTTTAAGTCGCCCAAGTGCTGCCAGAAATGCTCTGGCTGCTCTTGCATGTGGTTTAGCTTTACGGGCTGCTTGAGAAATTGCTTAACATTGCCAGGCTGTGGTTGTAAGTGGTTGAGGTGTTGTAAATGGCAGTGCTGCAACTGCAAGGTAGCCTGCCCAAGGTGCCATTGCAAGTGTCCAACCTGGCTGAGCTGCCACTGTAAGTTCCCAACCTGTTCGAGTTGCTCCTGCAAGTGCCCATCTTGTTCTAGTTGCTGCTGCAAGTGCCCATCTTTGTCCAGCTGCTTCTGCAAGTGTTCAACTTGGCCAAGCTGTAAGTTCCACCATTCCAGTTGCAGCTTGATGTTCTGCTATCGATGGAATGGTAAACCAAAAAGAATCACTGACGATCCTTCTTGCAAGTATGCTTCTTTCTATCCTTTAACTGAGAAAATGTTGCACATTGAAAAGTAATTATTACCTATTGGATGTTTTCTTGTCTTCTTGTCTAATTTAGAGTGTATTAATTGTATCGATTCTTGAAGAATAATAATAGCATATTTAATAGTATTGTTAATCTTTGAGCATAGTGAAGTAATTTATATTGATGCAATGCAGTTTGCCTGATGGGAAACTAAGCTTTACTCAAAAATGATAGCCCAATCAGCATATGATATCACCATGCTCCATGGAGGGATTGAAAGTAGCATTATGAAATCGGTGCTCTTGCTTTTCTTGCTCTTCTTCCAGTTCATGTTATTCATGCTGTCATTGCAACGCTGTTGAGAAAAGGAGAGCATTACCCTTTTCTCCTGTCACATCTTACTGAATATGCTAACTAATCTCCGTTGGAAACCTAAAACCAACAAAAAGATATGGTAAAGCTAAGGTTTAGAGACTAATTAAAGACGAAGTAGTTTCTGGTTGAAATGTAAAGGTCTTCTCTTATAGAACAACTAATTATCCCATTTGATATAAAGATAGAAGTAGGTGTTGTATTTTCCCTTAGCGATATGGTCCATCAACAGTCACTGCTGCTTCTGAGCTTAGAGAAGAAAGAGAGGTTAAGGAAGGCTGTCCATTGTCGAAACCTCAACTTGTAATGTGGTTCTGGACAAAGTCGGGAATCCGATTTGTACATTATTTTCGTTTTCTTGGAAGAACTTGTTCTTATCGACCATTTCGGCCACATTCTATTAGGCTTTGATCTGTATGCAATACATTGATAATAAATCATGCTAGATTAACCTAGTCCATAACTTGCAATATTGTTCTATATAGGTAAATTCAATTGCTTAAATTCGACGTCATGCTTACATCATTATGTCGTAATAAATCAGCATGCATTATTTTTTCTCATTTTTCATTTACTGCTTCCTCCTGATTTGTTACTCTGTCTGACAGTAACAACTTTTTTTGACTCTTGCTAACAACAAGCAATTAATGACAGCCTAATTTCAATCAGATTTCGATAATAAGAAGAAGATGCATGCAGTTGACAGAAATATTAATGATATGTCCTTTAATTAATTGTCATTATCTCTTCAAGATTAAAGGTCAGAAAAGGATTATTATTTTTATTTTTATTTTTTTAAAGTAAGCGTAGCGTTTCTTGACGACGGAGGTTACAATTTTTTTTTTTTTTTTTTCTTTTTCTTTTCTTAGGGAAAAGCTTCTTGATTATATTGAAGAAATGTTCAAAATTTGAGAGGTTTCAATTACAGCTTAACATTTGAACGCAAAATGTAATCATTCTGTTTTCCTTAAATATCAAAACCTTAAACCAGGTTCAATTACTATTTTGCTTTGATTGTATTTCACTGTGTATTGATGTGAAAATCTGGTTAATATTTTAAGAGATTTTAAGAGATACCCACATGATAGATTGTTAAAATGAGATTTAAATTAAGAAAATTTGTGCATTATAAAGAAGGATCTCTCTGATCTGACCTCGTTTTAAGAGTTATCATCATTTTAATGGTAATAAACGTTAGATGTATACAGTTATGCCATGTGGCAGATCTTTTGGTCAGGCTACGTGGCACGAGTGCATAGATGACTTTCAACTATGCTTGTTTCTGATAAATGAACAAAAATGTGTACTGGGTTGATATTGGGCCCATGGAAGCAGCCAAAGTCCCCATATGGGGTCCACCTTCTCCTCCTTAAAGCATGAAAAAAATTGTCTGAGAAAATGATATAGTAAGCTTATACTGAGAGAAGTAACAGCAATCTGCAGAAGAAGAAGAATAAGAAACAAAATATTTCTCTTTTTCTGCAACCCTTATTGTTTCTTGGAGTAAAATTTGTTGTTTCTGGTTAAAGACAGGAAAAAATCATCTTCTTTTCAGGTTTGATTTTCTCACAACACCAGAACTTCTGTTTTTTAAGATTCTTGATTTTTCTTGTTGTTGTTCTCTGCATTCTCCTATGTTGTTCTGTTCTTTTTCATTTCGAATATCGGATTTGTTTGGAAAAGAGTAAGAAATAATTTTGTTTCATCCTAAATTCTGCAACAGTAGTTGACAAATTTTACTTTTATTCATACAGGGTTTCTGAAGAATAAGAGAATGGTGTGTTTTGCTGCTATGCAAAGGGCAGATTCTGCATTTTTCGTGGCCATGAATTTGGTTTGCATTTTACTGTACATTCTATCAGTCTCTGGCGGATCTTCAGATGAGAAAAAGATTCTGCTGGAATTCAAGAAATCTGTTTCAGACCCCCATGGAATTCTTTCCAGTTGGAATGCAGGCAGTTCCGACTATTGCTCTTGGTTTGGAGTGTCCTGCAATTCCAATTTAAGAGTTTCCCGGCTGAAAATTGAAGGTAACTTTTCGGTTTCTCATCAGTGTTCTATGAATTCTGTGTTAGCTTTGCATGGCTTTGAAATACGAAGAAACTGCACCGAAATGAATGGAAAAATTGTAGGAAAACTGCCACCCATTATCGGAAAACTCAAAGAACTTAAGGTTCTGTCACTTCCATTCAATGAACTCAGGGGTGAGATTCCTGTCCAAATATGGAGCCTTAAAAATCTTGAAGTACTTGATCTTGAAGGGAATCTTATTGTGGGAAATTTTTCGGATTATGAATTCACTGGTTTAAGGAATTTAAGGGTTCTTAACCTTGCATATAACATGATTGCTGGGAAATTTCCACCTTCCCTCGCAATATGTAGGGTTTTAAGGATTTTGAATTTAGCAGGAAATGAAATTAATGGTGTGATTCCCAGATTCATTGGTGGTTTTAGGAAGTTAAGAGTGCTGAATTTGTCGTTTAATCAGTTAGTAGGCCATGTTCCAGATAATTTGGGGTGTGATTGTGGGAATCTTGAGCATTTGGATTTGTCGGTTAATTTCCTAAAGGGGGAAATTCCGCTTGCTTTGGGAAATTGTAGTCATTTAAGGACACTTTTGGTATCTTCAAATGCATTAAGTGGCTTTATCCCTATGGAGCTAGGTGAACTTCGAAACCTTGAAGTTCTGGATGTTTCGAGAAACAGATTGAGTGGTCCCCTGCCTGAAAAGCTCGGAAATTGTATTAATTTGTCGGTTCTTGTTCTTTCAAGTCAAATTAATGTTCTCCCGAGCAAGAGGAATCCAGGTGGAGCAGTGTCTCCCAGATTAGCTGATGTCGCATTAGAAGATTATAACTGTTTTGATGGTTTCATTCCCATTGAGATTACCACACTTCCAAAGCTGCAGATAGTTTTTGCTTCTGGAGCCAACTTTGAGGGACCGACAAATTGGGGCCGTTGTGCTAGGCAGAAGCATGCACCTTCTGAATCAAGAAGCCATCCTAAAAGTGGTAAAAACGGAGTTGATCTTATTTTTGAAGTATGCGTAATATCTGTAGCAGTCGTTATTGCAGTTGTTTTGGTTTTTGTATTTTGTTATGCAAAAAGGAAAATATCAGATTCAAAGGGTCAGAATACTATGTCACCACAGAGAAGAGAAACTAACTTTTTCGAGGACATTGGAGTACCCTTAACATATGATGGTTTGATCCAGGCAACGGGAAATTTTAACATTAGCAACTGCATAGGAAATGGTGGATTTGGTGCCACCTACCGGGCTGAAGTTTCTCCAGGAATGACAGTAGCAGTGAAAAGGCTCATTACTGAAAGGTGCCAAGGCATCCCACAGTTCTGTGCCGAGGTCAGGACACTGAGAAGAATCAAACACCCGAACCTCATAACTTTGATAGGGTATGGTGCCAGTCAAGCAGAAATGTTTCTGATATATAACTACCTTCCTGGTGGAAATCTAGAAGAATTCATTCGGGAAAGAGCCAGAAGAGCTTTTGATTGGAGAATAGTTCACAAGATTGCTCTCGATGTTGCATCTGCACTAACTTATCTGCACGATCAGTGTAATCCGAGTATTCTACATCGCGACATCAAACCTAGTAATATTTTGTTGGACAACGACTGCAATGCCTATTTGTCAGACTTTGGATTGTCAAAATCTCTGTCTGCTACACAAACTCATGCTACCACTTGTGTAGCCGGAACTTACGGATACATAGCTCCAGAATACGCACTGACAGGCCGCGTATCCAACAAGGCCGATGTTTACAGCTATGGGGTGATGCTGCTTGAGTTATTGTCTGACAAGAAAGCTCTCGATCCTTCATTTTATTCATATGAAGATGGATTCAACATTGTTTCATGGGCGTGCTTGTTACTCAAACAAGGTCAGGCCGAGGATTTTTTCTTCTCGTCTCTATGGGATTCGGGTCCACAGGATGACCTCGTGAAAATGCTGCATGTGGCTGTTCTTTGTACTCTTGAATCATATTCTGCTCGGCCAACAATGAAGCAAGTTGTGCAGCGACTCAAACACTTTCAACCACCCAGTGGCTAACCACACTACAGTGCTGCTTCTCAATTTATTCATTCTAGTATTAGAATGTATAGCAGACTGATTTTTCCTTCATTCAAATTATTCGGGATTATGAGCTTCGATTTAGCTACATAGCTTTTTTGTCAAAATCCTGTTCGCAGTTCTGTCTGAACTTGTATAAACTGAATTTCAATTGTATAATTCCTGTGTATGGCATGCAAGAAATTTACTTTGATGTCTCATATTGTGTAATCAGTTGATTTAAGGCGAAAATTACGACACTGCACTAATCTGTGGTGGAGGGACGAGTCTCATGTAATAAGGCTGATATTATTTTGGTCATTCATCTTCTAAAACGAAACTTCATGTGCATGTTTCATATGCAAATTCAGATGATACACGAGGAACTGATAACTGCCCGATTTCTCACCTAGCACAGGGTCGTCCTCTTTGAAATTCTGTGTCCTTGTTTCACCATTTGAACGTAGCCTCGAAGTTATGTAATCCTACAGAGTTCATTGGCATCATATGGAATTCTGAGAAGCTGAAAGTTCAGAAGTTGGGACTGGATCAAGTATTTTGATTAGAATCCAGCTGCATTATATTTTGAGCTTATGTTTACAGAAATTATAGTCCTTGCAGTGCTATGCTCTTAGGACTTGGTCCAGTAACCACAAAGATTTAGATATCTAAAGAAGAATTAAGGAATTACAGCAGACAAGATTTGTCGTTAGCTTGTTCAGTTAGCATCCTAAAATTCTTATGACAATATATCATAAATTATAGAAGTATATCTATCATAAATGAAAAAGAAACTTCTCTTATCTATACCGATTGTCTAATAAATTTAGGAATACACATTAGTTACTGCAATGTACTTGAGTACTTTGAGATCGAATTCGATGAATTTAACATTTAAATGAAAGTAATATTATTTAACATCGGTCTAAATGTCAATACTTACTTCATTAAATGATACATTGAACTAAAGATAAAGATATGGAGTAATGACTTGTCGCCTAGCTTCCATGTGGAAGCACACGATAGATTTAATTAAACGTGGTGTCATGATCTATCATGTAACTGAACTTATCTTTTAATGTCACGTATTGCCACATAAGCTCGTGTTAAACATCAATTGGGCTATATGACATCTAAATTTATTATAAAGACCACTAGTACTATGCAACATTATTTTATTGAGCAATGGGTTTCTGCACAATATTTTGAGTGCTAATTTGATGCAAAATAATAGTTACGATTATAGTTTTTCCCTAGTGGGCATTTATTTTGGGAATCGGACCGGAACCGTTTGGAACCAAACGATTCGGTTCCGAATCTTTTAAAAAACGATTGAATTTTGGGACAAATTATTAAGAATCAATCGGTTCTAATTCGGTTCTCAATTCTAGTATGTGAATCGCTGGGAACTGGACGGTTTTCATAGGATTTTTTTATTTTTTTTTGATAAAATATATGACTCAATCTCCAATCACTTTTATAAAAAAATAATTGGATTCCTTCTTCATTTTATACTCGAGCACTTTCCTTCTTTTCTTTGATTCTTTGATTCTTTGATTCTCTCTTCTTATAATTCTTTGATTAAGTGCTTTACAAACCAAATTAGAATATTGAGTAAATCTGTACCTAGCCCCCGTTTGGCCTCCATTAAATTTCGTTCATTATATTCCATTTTTCCTCCTCTTATTTTCAATCACACAATCTTTCATAAAATAACGTTATACGTAAAACGAAAATTTTTTCTTCTTTTTCAACTACTCATTTTTCAAAAAAATACTATTCCACGCATTTTCATTTCTAGAAAATGGGGGCCAAACGTGGACTTAAATAAATTTATTTACAATATATAATTTCATTTCTAATATGTGAAATTTTTATTTTGTTTTCACTATGTAATCATAGCTGTTGATCCGATCAAAACATTTCATCTAGATTTCTACAAATTATAACCGATAAAACCAGAAGTTGCAATAAATTTTTGAAGGTTGTCCAATTCAATGTAGGATTTTGATTTTGGTGGAAGTTTGTGTAATCATTTGAGTATATAAGTTGATGATTGCTCGATGATAGTAACTTATATTATTTAGATATTATTTTTAAATTTGTATACTTAATTTTCTTTTAATCTTTGAATAGTATGTTCGGTTCTTCTATATTTTGTTAAAAGTATCACGTTGGTAACATCTTTACATTTTTTATTAGTGAATATTTTATTTTAACATTTTCAATGTAAAGAATCGAACCAAACCGAACTAATACCGATGGGTTCAACTCCGATTCGGTTCTATAACTAACTATAAAACCAATGGTTCTGCGCCCACTCCTAGAAAAAACAGACAAAAACCATATGCAGCACCTATATGGTTGCTTTTTTTTTCTTTCTTTTTTTTGGGTCATCTTTCAATAACCTGATTACCGCAATTGTTGAGGATACCCTTTTTTAGATAATCTGCCAAGCGTCATTCTTTTTAATTCTATGAATTTTTTTTATTTTTTATTTTTATTTTTATTTTTTTTGTATCTATAGCATTGCCCTTACGATTGGATAAAATAAGTAACATTTACAACAAATATTTTTTCAACATAAATATGTGATGGTTTAACATAGAATTTATTTTTATTATTATTATTATTATTATTATTTAACAAAAAATAAATGTGCTCGACTCTAATAATCATATTGAACCTTTTGGCCGACACCTATTGCTCGATACTAAAGTGCCACAAAAACTGAAAATTAATGTATCCAAGTACAAGTTCTTTGCCAGGGCTTACAAATTTCGAAAAAGAAAACTTCGCCAAGAACCAACCTCATATTCTGAAAGCTTAAGAGGCTAAAAAGAGAGAAGCTAGCTTATTATATTCTCTACAATCGCTCACGTCAAAACCAATTTTATTTTATTTTATTTTTTTGTCGTCATTCCATATATGAATATGCATGCACCATTTCCATCAATCTAAGCAATGATCAGGAAGAATTAATATTGATTGCTCTGTATTTCCAGAATGCAATCCACATAGGTACAACCAATTTTTCCATTTTTCTTTCAGATATAAGCATCAGCTAATTATTACACGGTCATTTCAAGAAGAAAATTTAATTTAAAAAAAAAAAAAAAAAGAGGCCGTCATCAAGTTGAAAACATTTTACCCCTCGTGTGAACGGTAACATGCAGGCGGCCCTTATAACAGGGAAGAAGCGTTCGGGTTCACAACTATGTGCTTGAGCGGATTATCTACGTCGCTGCCTCCAGCATGCTCAACAAACTCGGCCGGTGAGAGGAAGGTGCCGTGGCATACGCACATTATTCTCACTTCTTCTCCCTTTCCATATCTGTATAGTATCCCATCGACTTTCCTACCATTAGGACCATCACCCTTTGTGAAAACACAAGGCATATCCTCCACTGCATTCGTCCCAATTTCCCTTCCTCGATTGATTACAACATCAGATCTTGCAGAGAGACTCTCCGTGTCTGGTTGAGTCATTCTGCTCATATTCTCTCTTGATTTCATCCCAGATGAGCCAACATCCTGATTGATTCCCTCACGAAAAGTCTGGATACTGCCGGGGCTCAGTTCACCACCACTGCTGGATCCTGAAATGAAAACAAGGAAACCTCAAAAATAACTACGAGCAATGGATAATTATTTTGGAACTTTCATGTACCATTTGGAAGGCATCCCTTTTGGAGGTTCCTTAACAAAACTAAAGGCATGCATCTATAAAGCTAGAAGTCTAAATACTTCTCTTATCCCCAAAAATAAATAGCTTTATTGTCTCTAAAACACAATCACTGGGATGCATCTACTGATCTATCTGCCTAAATAGTCTGTAGAAAACAGGTAAGTTTTAGCATCAAATCTTTAAATGAAATTACTCAGACTAAAAAGTTTAAGGTGCCTTTCCTTTCTTCCACTTCTTTTCAATGGGCATGGCATTCTTTGATAATTTTTACCCCGAGGAGTGACAGGATGACCGAGGCCACAAGTTTGGGAACACCTCTGTGAAGTCTGAACCGTCGTTCCAAAGTGCCCCTTCTATACGATATGCATAATATGATTAAGTCTGCAAAACTTTTGAACTTTCCAAGTTTTGGAAGGAAATCCTTTAAACATGTCAATGTTCTTCTATCTAGCTAGCAAGGCATAATTCTTCTGTCTTCATAAAATCTAACTCATCTTTATGTTGGAAAAAATATTGTGAAAATATTTTATTTACTAAATAAAAATTACATGAGCTTTACACAGATTAATAAAAAAATAAGTGTAGAAACTGCTTGATTAACACGAGAGTTTCCCTCTATCTCCTTAAGACAAATTTGTACAGCATCGGTGTCCATAAACTTCAAGATACAAAAAACTCTGTTTGTAATACTATTACTCCAAATTGCAGACAGTAACATCATTTGAACAATGCCTTGCACTCCACTTGACAGGCTGGGACTAAAGTAAGATGCAGGCTTGAAAGAAAACAAACAGGAATCTATCTATAGTTGTTTAAAGCTATGATGCTCGGACTCAGGTATAGTTACGTGTCTAAGTGTCGGATCTTTTATTTTCTAAAATGTAGGATACGTGGATATGACTAAAAAGAGTCTAAATTTTGGATACGAGTACATCTTTCAAACTTCAATTTTTTACTAACTTAAGATGTTATTTTGAATAGACCAATATCAATTGTTCACAAAGAAAAAATAGTGTTGAATAAGTGGTTAAGATGAATAAAATAGGATTTTGAAGTTTAGTTTTCAATTATGAGAGGTTAATTACTAAATGTTATGTAAAATAGAAAATGAGGAACTTGATTGTAATTTGAATTTAGTGGAACACTAAGTAGTATTATATGGAACTCATTTTTAATTTATACAAACAAAACCTCAAACCATCGATACAGAGAGGGAAATAAGGAAAAAAAGAAAAGGCAAAGAAAAAAGAAAGAAGAAGAAGGGAAAATCTAGCGCCGTCATCTTTTTCCAACATCCCGGAGGTAGCGCTAGGTTCATAGAGAGTAGAAACGGAAAGAAAAGGAAAAGAAAAAACAAAAAGGGCGAAGTGTCCGGTAGAAACCTGGAGGATCTGACATATATCCCATACCCATACTTATGTCGTGTCGTGTCCGATACAGGTACTCCAACCATTTCGAAGAGTCTGAGCATCAGAGGTTTAAAGTGTTCGTCCGAGTTGACATATATGTTCTTAAAGGCGTGTCTTTAGTCTTTCCTCTAGACCAAGTCTATAAACAATTATACATTTAAAAAGAAACATCGTTGAAGGACACATTTACTGTGAAAATATATGCCTACTTGAAAGGTCATACCAATACTCAAAAAATAAAATAACCAAACCATATAATACATTCTGATTTGATGCATGTGAACAACTCACAAGAAAATTATATTCTACGTGTCCACACCTCATTGAAAGAAAAATTAATTACAGACTTCCACTTTCACCACCAAATTTCCCATTGTTGAGCATGTCACTTTAAACTCAATTTCTCATATTTGAAAATGATTTTGAGCATAAAAATATATTAGTTAATCTTTTTGCAAAGGAGAATGCTCTTTGATGTGGTCCCACCTTAAACGACTTGTAGGGCTACCCAAATTTTAGCACAATATCTTTCAATTGGCACTTAACAAAAACCATTTTTCCTATTTACCAATAATTATTTCTGAAAAAGGATAGATATTCACCAAATAATTCTCACTCCTAAAATTTCTCAAATGCCTTTACCTAAAGGAGCAATAATGAAGAATAAGCAGCATAATTGAAGTTATGGCAGTAGAGGTTGCTCCAAAAAAGCACAAGATAAATTGTGCATCTCTGAATGATTGTTTGAAAATACAAAAAGGGACTAACACGTGATTATTTATAGCAAAAGAATAACGTAGGCGGACATATCATAAGAAAAACATGGGACACAAAAAATATCAAGAATTTCCAACATATCCTGCTTCCAAAAAGAATAAGACAGAAGTCATATGTTGTTATAAATCCCACTTTATTTTAAAAGCATTAACCATTTGTAATCCAAGTTCCATAAATTTTTCAATGAAGAAACACAAAATAAGTAAGATGAATAGAATCCCGTTATGTCACCTAGGAACTATGGACCATCCATATCCGACTTGAAATCCAAAAGAACACGCACTAGGAATAATGGAATATTGGTTATTGTTTTGTGGTAACAATTAGGAAGCACACATGATGTGATAACCAGAAAGAATTCAAAACCAAAAAGTTAAAGTGCAAGATAAAAATGAAGATCAACTGTGTTTCTTTAATTGCTTCGAGCACATTAAATTCATCGACTCATTTGAGGGAGTCTAACATTAAGTGAATGACTTTACAGTTTAAAAACAGCATTGAACAGAAATTTCAGCCGAACAAGAACATATAGAAATCAAAATACCTTCAAAAGTTTTAGTGTTGAATTCAGATATATTCGAAGAACTTCCTCCTTTTGATTCCATTGACTTTTGCATCCCACTACTACCTCCCAAATAATTCCCCTTCCCTTGGACCACTGCCTCATCAATCCCACCTCGAATGGCCTGATCAGTAGCAGTGGCAGCAGACGTTGCCAAACGGAATGGCAAACCAGACCTCTTCGCCATGGCCAAAGACTTCTCTCTCTCCAATCTCTCTCTCAGATTCACCTCAATTTCCTTTTTCTCCTCCAGACTTAAATTTCCACCACCACGACCTCCACCTCCTTTATCACTCTTTAAATTCCTCTGCTTTTCTGACCTCCTCCTCTTAGCCTCCATTCTCCTCAAGGTCTGTAATTGCTTCCTCTTCCTCCATTCGTCCTCTGTCTCTGCGGGCAATGAAGAGGTCCTCAACAGGCCCGTATAAGCCACCGATGGTGGTGCCACCGCATCATTATCATCTCTCACCACCGGTAAACACTCCGCTACAGAAGAAGACCTCACTAACTTATTGGAGCTCTTGTCCACACCAAATCTCCCTCCCAACGACAGTCCAAGATTCAACTCAATCTCCTCATCCTCCTCTTTCACTGCCTCACTCCCACTACTACTACCACCACCCATAAATCTCTGCAACAAATCTCTTGAAAATCTATTTGTTGAAATATCCAAACAAAGAGTATCCATTACTGTTGTTCCTAAAATCTTCTTACCATCGTCACGACCCCCCATAAGACAAAAATAACACAACCTTCAACAATACTATAATGGCATCTAATTCATCTATATTCATATGTATATGCATGTTTAACCACTTCATGATCTGATTCACACAAACCCATAAAGCAAAACTTGATCTTGGTATTCATATTAAGCCCTCCTTCTTCCAATATTCAATTTTTACACAAAATTCAAACAAGATTTCGAGTTGCAAAGCAATAAACTTCAGCCATTAAATACAATTTCAAAAAGATAAATGAACTATCTCATAAATTAATAGAACAAGAAACTTAAGAGATAATAAATCAAGAATAAAAAAATGGATTGTTGATTATAACGAAAATTTCAATCGTGACATATTGTTTTTGTGTGTTTTAAGAAAATCAATTTTTGAAGCAAGTGAAAGAAAAACCTCAACTAAAGAACAAAGAAGAAAGGTTGTAGAAGGGGCGTGGGAGTGCGGGTTAGGAGTGTGCGTGGGGGCTCAAGGCAAAAACTTGGAATGGACAAGTGGCGGGAGAGAGAGAGGTAGAAGGGTGACACGTTGGTCTGAATGAATAGGCCTTTTCTGTAGTCTCAAAAGAAACTGTTTCGAGAAAAGGTTGAATGATTGGGGATGTTAAGGTATAGTTGAATAGGAAAATACTTCCTCTGCAACCCTTTCTTCTTGGGTTTTCTTGATTCAAGATTATAAAATGTGTTTCTATATGTTTATAAAAAATATTACAAAAATACGAAATGATTTTTGTGATATGTATGTATAGGCCATAGGGTATTTAATGTCTTCAAAGTTCCCAAAAAAAAAATAATAATAAATAAATAAATAAATATATATATATATATATATATATATATATATATTTGAACA